CCTGGTAGGTCTGCTTACCTCGGTAACACCTCTTCATATCTGGGCCCAGCCACATTGTGTCAGGACAGGCACACGTGTACTTGGGAGAGTGGCTGGAGATCTGAGGAGCAGGAAGGCACAGGTACTCACAGCCTCCATTGGGCTGGGCACTCAGCTCGCAGGCATCTGCAGCTAATGGCAGAGAGAGAGAGAGATTGAGAGACTGAGAGACCGAGAGAGAGACAGAGACAGAGACAGAGAGAGAGAGAGGGGTGGGGGTGGGGGTGGGGCACAGATGGGACATGCCAGGTCTTCCTTTCTCCCAAGGATGAGGCCCTTCCTACTGGATTTGCTCAAAAAGCTCTCTACTACTGTTACTGGCCACCTTCCAGGACTGTACCTGGAGTTTTATCCTCATACTTTCACCTAATCCTGACAATGGCTCTGAGAGGTGGGTACTATACTCCAAATTGACAGATAAATGATACCTAGGCTCAAAGAAAAAACTTGTCAGAGCTGTACCTCTAGTAATTTTGGAGACAATTTAAATTGAGGACTGTTGGACTCTAAAGTCCATGTTTCTCCTCCTCTGCCACATGCTATGTCTCTTTTCTTATTTAAATTTCTAGGTTTAGAATCAGGCACCAACCTTATCTCCTTACCCCTCTACGCTTTCTCACCTTCACTCTGGAAACCAAAACCTCAGTTACAGTTAGATTTAGTACATCCTAGTGGTAGAGGAGGGGACAACCAAGTAGTAGGATTCGTGGCTTCTGGTCCCAACTAACAAACTGAATTACTTTCTGGCCCTAGGATATATTAGCTTATACTACTGCCAAGTGGGTGCAAATAATAAATGAGAAGCAATGTACTCCTAATGGCAGAAGGAGCTCTGGAATCAGACAGACCTGAGTTTAGGTTTTGGTTTTGCCACCTGCTAACAATATTTTACCTCTCTGAGCTACACTTTCCTCAATTGTTAAATGGGAACAGTAATACTTACACTTTGTAGGATTAGCAAAAATAGGGCATTTATGTATTTATACCCAACCTTATTTCACCAAGAGCTTGAGGCAAAAACAGGATAAAATATGTGACAGCAAAGCACCCTACCAACTAGAGGGATTGCTGCCATTATTCCTGGGGGTGCTGAGACATTGTTACATGAACATGAATACAGTCTGCCTAGTGGAGGCAAAGGACATGGGCAGGGGACCTGGGACCAGGGAGGGCTCACCTCTTGGCTGCTTCAGCTCATGGAAGATGACAATGTCATGTGGGTTGTTGAGGTTCTCAGCTAGGACAGAGATTTCCAGGCCGTTGAGCCGATTTGCACTGAAAATGGCCTCATTCTCCAAGTCTGTCCAGAATATCTTGTCCTGTGGGATACAGATGTAGCAGATGGGAGGCCTAGAGTCTAAAATCATAACCTCAATCTTAGGGCTCAGCCCCAAATCATAGTCATAAGAACTACCAGAACTACCCTGCCATCTCCCCTGAGCTCTCCTGTCCACAGATTCAGTGGGACTCTCAGCCTTTCATCTGTGACGTGCACTCCGGTTCCCTTCTGTCTCAGAGGGTTATTTGGTGAATCTGTGCTTTGGCTTGAAGGCTGAGCTAGGCCTGCTCCCTGGAGCCCAGCAGAGACCCAAGGCTGAGTCTCAATTAGCTGTTACTATTACTAGGGCCCAGGACCAAGATTAGAGGGCATGTGTGAGCTACTAACTATTCCCTGATGGGCCTTCTATAGCCTCTGGGTAGAACATACATGCGTCCAATGGCTAGTCCATCCAAGCCTGAATGTGCATCTATAGACAGATCCACAGTAACAGGTGCAACCATGCAGCCTCATGCACAGGTCTGGACACATACCCACATGCTCATCTACACACAAAAAGGCACAATTGGACCTAAACAAGGATTTGTCTAAGAACTGGTATACATATGTAAACTCAGAAGCACCAGCACATATAGGAATACACACTTTTAAATGGATGCATTTATGTACACACATGCACATACATAACATGTACATGCAAAAAATATACATAAGCACATATGAGTCTGAACACACCTGTCTTTTGAAGCAGGGGCTGGATTTGGAGGTGGGGCTTTGCCCATAGATTCAGAGCAGTGCTGAGTGATGTCGCTCCAAGCAAATATTGCCAATGCCCACCACAGACCTCTGTCCCCTTGCTTTCCCTCCCCTTGGTGGCAGAGTTAGTTTTGGGGAAGAGGTAGGTGTGTGAGACCTTGGTTAGTTTTGGCTTCCTCGTTCCCCGAGGAGAAAGGTTATTAGGGTCAGAACACAGGAGAGTCTCTTTTCTCTTCATCCTCCTAGGAGCTTCTTGAGGACTGAGATGCTGTCTGACTCACTTCTATGAACCCAGGGTCCAGCAAAGATCAATAAAAGTGTGCTGAGTTGAATGGCATCTCTCAGGCCATTTCCAATAAGACATGATTCTAAGGAAATGTAAATTCCTTCTTCCCTTCCTCCCTTTATTGGGTACCTTCTGTATATGTGGGCACGGTGTTGGGTGCTGAGGGTTCAGAGAGAAAACATACATGGTCTAGCAACTTACCTGTGAGCAGTGCTCTGAGAGAGTGGTCTTGGGAAGGGAGTACAGAAAAAGCTGCCAGGTAGACAAAAGCTGCCTTTGCATGGAGGCAGCTCTCAGAGTGTGCACAAACAAGTCAGTTGGCTTCCCTGTTCCTTTGTTTGCATTTGGACAACTCTCAGGGAGTCGTCCTTTTTGAATAAGCCTTTTCTAGGCTTTGGCTTCCTAATAGGGCCATGCCTTCCCTTGCGGGGCTTACCTCAAACACAGCTATCCCAAAAGGGTGACTAAGGAAGTCAGGGGAGGAAATCAGCATCTTTCTGTTGCCTCCGCTGAAGTCAATGCTGGACAGCTGGTGCAGCTTGGAGTCTACCCAGTATAAGCGCTGGTTCAGCAAATCTTGGGGAGGAAAAAGGGGATGGAGGATCAGGTCATGAGCCAGCTCCCAGGCTCAGTAGTCTTGATCTCTGCTTCTCTGTGCCCCATCCCTGCCCACATCTCCAGGCCAGGCCTCAGACTGAGGCCAGCCTGGGGCAACCATCAAGAAACACATGCACTGGCACTATAAGGGGATGCAGAAATAAGACCCATGGGGCTCGGGACAGTGGTCAGGATCAGGTGCTAGAATAGCCCCCAGTCTAGGAAGGCAGGGCTCACCCAGGGTGATTCCGTTGGGCCACTCAATATTGTCTGACACGAGTATTTGTCGGTCCATACCATTGAGCCCGGACTTCTCGATCTTGGCCTGATACCCCCAGTCAGACCAATACATGAACCTAAAAGAGAGAAAGATCTCAGTGGGCTTTTTATCAAGGATATAACTGGGGTGGTCTGTATCACAAGAGATCAATGACCCAATGAATATTGAAGATTATGCTTAGTGGGGACTGCAAAGACCTCTGAAATCCATTGGAACTATCAAATCTTAAAGTTAGTAGGTGCTTTAGCTTTCATATCATCTGAGTCCTGGGAAGCCTGTATTCCCCAAGTGTCCACCCAGCCTCAGCTGGACAGCCTGGGAGCCCATCCTCACTTCTGGTAACTCCAACTAGAACACTAGCATGCCAGAGCAGGAAGGGCCCTTGTCAATGCTCTTTTACTTTTCCGGTCTTTAGAGGAGAAAACAGATGACCTACTCAAGATTACACAGCTAGAACTGTCCAGGACTTCTCTCTCTTTTTTCTTGAACATTTATTGAGTACTTATATGTGCCAGGCGCTGGGCTGAGTGGTTTCATCTCACGTACTTACATCAGGACTATGGAGGAAGAGAGGCAGATTTGGGAATAGGAGAAAAAAAAAATCAAACGAAATGAAAAAAAAAATTTTCTAATATGCAGAGCTGTCCCAAAATGAAATAGGCCCCAGGTGAAGTAATGAGCTCCTGTCTGAAAGTGTGTGAGCAGCCATCAGATGCGCACCTGGGGCCCCAGGTGAAGTAATGAGCTGAAAGTGTGTGAGCAGCCATCAGATGCGCACCTGCAGCATGCAGCAGTCTGAGGACAGACTTCCTGCCCCAGGAGCTTCTAGGCAATATCTAGAGCCCTGCTTTACTTTGAGATGCTCTGATTCTATGATATGATGAGCAAGCAGCAGAGTCTCAAGAGAACTCTGATGACCAATGCCCAAAGAATCCTTTGGGGGTTGGGGGTTAGTAGGCTGAAGGGCACGAACTTTCTTCCCTTGGGCTGTGTCTGAGTGACCCAGGACCTTCCAAAGCCCTCAAGAGAGCTCTTATGACAGACACATGAGGACTGAGTGCATACGGTGGGAGTTCTAGGTGGGGACACTCACCCTCGCAGGGGGTCGACAGCGATGGCCCGGGGTTCACTGAGGTCCTGGCTGAAAAGAGTGCATCGCCGGCCACCATCAACTGTGGCCACTGAGATGGTCTTGTTGCCCGAGTCCGTCCAGTAGATGTGCTTGTGGACCCAGTCCACCGCCAGGCCCTCTGGAGAGTGTAGCTGCTTGTCAATGAGCACCTCCTGCTCTGCTGGGTCACTGGCCTTGTCCATGTAGGCGCTAGGAGCAACCAGAGCTGACCATAGGGCAGGTGTTCTACCCGCGCACCCCTCTGGAGTTGCCTATGCGCCCTTCCCCTCTCTTCCTGTGGGCCATGGCAGTGCATTTTCGAGGAACTTGGCTAATTTCTATTCAACACATTCCCTGGACCACCATACAGGTGGGATCAGTATACAGGTTTGAATCAGCCATAGCCTCTGGCCTGGAGGAGTCCAGCTTAATGGGGGACGGAAATTCAGTTAGATCATTTAGTACAATGTGATTACGGAAAGTATGGAGACTACATCATCCTGGAGGGTTGGAGAGGCTTTGTAGTTGGAACACAAAAGACACTAGGAACACAAAAGACAGCAGAGGGAACAGCATGTGCAAATGCCTAGAGGTATGTGTTCTAGAGTATTGACTAAGGTGAGATATTCAGTGGGGGTAGAGCTGGGTAGGTGGGATATAAGACTGGAAGTAAGTGTAGGCAGGGGCCACATCCTGACGGGCTCTGCGTGCCATACTAGGGAGTTAGGACTTCCTGGAGAGGGTAACTGAACAGGTCAGAGGACGTGGTTAGATGAGCATATTAGATCACTGTGGCACTTGTGGACTATGAGATGGATTGGAAAGGAAGGGAATGAAGGCTGATTAGGAGGCTGTTACTGCATCCAGGTAAGAGATAAAGAGGGTCTGCAGAAGGCTTGTGCTGGTGAGAATGGAGGGCAGGGGCTGAAAATACAGTAGACACTGAGGCAACATTAATGAGACCTTCTGTCTCCCAAATACTGTTTTTCTCAAGTTTTTTCTTCTCCCCATAACCTCTCTCTGGGCAGTTAGTTCCATAGTGCCCACTGCCATCCATAAGTATGACTCTCCTATTAACACAACTCTCTGAAACCCTAGATTATAAAGCCAATTGGCCCCCCTCAGATGTCTCAGGGACACCTTGAACTCAATACATCCAAAGCTGCTCATCCCTATTCCCTTCAATCTCAGCCAGCTGTCCAGACTGCCCAACCCCCACCCAATCCTCCTCGACTCCCACCTAAGATACTAGAACTACCATTCACAAAACCTCCTAAGCCAGAACCTAAAACTCCCAGAATGAACCTGGAGTCATTTGGACTCTTCTTCCTCAGCCCCATATCCAGTCTGTCATCAAATCCTACCTCTTTTACTTATAACTATTGGGCAGGTACTGCTCTAGTTGTTCTCTCTCTCTCTCTTTCTTTCTCTCTCTCTCTGTGTGCGTGTGTGTGTGTGTGTGTGTGTGTGTGAACTGAGTATGTGTCTCTGTGTTGGGGCATGTGGTAGTCATCAAGATGTCGATGAGTAGCACTTGGTATATTTCCTTCTATCCATTCATTGATCCATCCATCCACCTACCCACCCATCGCATAATTCTTTCAACAGTGCCCGGTCATCAGTAGTTCTGCCAACTAGATGGATCTCAGGACAAAGAAAGGACGTGATTACCAAAAGGGGGCCAGAACATGCATGGAGGCAGGCTTGTGGTATTTGAGAAAACCTAGGAGAGAACTTCGTGTGTGAAGAGCCTTCCTGAGACTCAAAGTCCACAGACTGTGGTGTCCAGTGACAGGCCGGACTGCGAGAAGTGCATCCAGGAAGATTTTCCTGACCCCTCGATTGGGTGAGAGGCACAAATCCAGTGACAGGCCGGACTGCGGAAGATTTTCCTGACCCCTCGATTGGGTGAGAGGCCGCCTCTGTATGTTCCTCTCATGATCATCACAGTGGATGTCACTATGTTATGAGTGGGATCCTCCAGGCAGGAACAGGTCTGAGTCATCTTTGAGTCTCCAGGATCCAACACACAGATATGTGAGCTGCTTTGAAAGTCTTCACCAAAGCCAGGGATTTCTTCCCTTTTGCCTTGACTGAACATTTCCTGTGTCTTGCACTGCCCCATTAGGCCACCAGAGGTCAGTCAAAACCCAAGAGTGTGGGGTTCAAAGCCGCTCTCTCAACCCTCAGCGTTTAAAGCCAAGTTCCACAGTCACTACGATCCTCTGTCCCTTCCCAAGCCCCATCTCTATACTGGGAAATCTTTGAGGCAGAGGAAGCACAGAGGCCACCCTTCCTCTTCTCTCCATCGGTCCCTATCCTGGCTGCAGGATACCTGCCACTGCTTACCTGTAGATCTTGCGGTAAGAGAGGTCACACCAGTAGATGCGATTGGTGGCAACTTCGACATCCAGAGCCACAACGTTCTTGAGCATAGGGATGAGGCGTGAGTAGTCTCGCTTTACCAGGTCTATCCTCCGCACTTCGTGCCGGTTAGTGAAGATTAGGGACGGGCTTCTGCCAGCTGTCATTCGGGGAAGTTGAGAGAGAAGGGGTCAGCGCAGGAGGTGGGGAATCTAAAGACCAAGCCTCTATCACTGGATTGCTAGGTGATACCTCATTTTCCTGTAGAATAGGGGTGATAATTCCTATCTCATAGGTTAGGGGAGCAGATGAAATAATGGGTACAAAAAGCATAAGATGCAAAGGACCACGATTTTCATTCTTTCTATTAGATAAAAACTCCCCCTGAATTTTTTATAACCCCATTTCCTCCTCAGGCTTTCACCAATGGCCTTCCACAGTGTGACCCCAAGTTCCCTGTACAGCCTCATCACTCACTCTTCTAACACACTTTGATTCTAGCCACCAGACTACCTGTCATTACCTAGCCACGGCAGAGTTCTGCTGCTTCAGGGCTTTTGCTTAAGTTGTCCCCTCTACTTAATGCATTTCTCCCTAGCAAATAATACCTCCTCTGCTTAGGGCCCCACTGCCAATAGTTCAAGAAGGGGTAATGGCAGCATTAACTATTTCAGAAAGATGACTCAGGCTCCAGTATGAAGGACAGACATTAGAGCTGGAGGTGAGACTAGAGGGACGAGATTCAGGGAGGTCATTGTGAGTCTTTAGTTTATGTAGAGTGTATTTGGGGACATGGCAAGGGATGAAGCTGCAGAGGTTGGCAGAGGCCAGACCACAAAGGGTCCTGTGAGCTGGGTGAAGAGCTTACACTTTATTCTGAGCAGGGATGGGATGTATGTAATATATGACACAGATTATATATGTGCAATGGAGACAACATACAACTGCTCATGTATATACAAAACCTATTTTTAGATTTAAGATTAGATTTTAGGAAGATCATCAGTGACCTAGATATTGCCAGCTACTCCATATGGAGGGTCACTGTCCCACAGGCCTATGAGGGCCCAGCACTTAACACAGGCTGCCAGTCCCCCAGCATGTTTTTAGATGTATCAGACCACTCTCAGGCACCAATAATGTCTGATAGCAACACCTGTACCTGGAGCTGCCTGTGCCTTCTCCCCTTCTTATTTTCCAGCTAACACTTCTGCAGGCCACCTGGTCCCTGTCACTGTGCATCTCTGCCAGGCTAATGTGTTCCCAAGGGGCAGGGTGGGACTTTCACAGAGCCATGTGGGGCCTGCGGATGGGTATGTGACTTGGGTGGTATGATGGGACTATTTCAAAGCACAGCAGGGGTGACGGAGAGCATGGTACAAACAGAGAACATAGAAAAAAAGGGCTCCAAGTGCAGAAAGGAGAAAGGAGGAAAAGTGGCTTCAAGGTCCAGCTCCACCACTGATAAACTATGTGATTTTTCTCACTCCAAAATGAGAGCAATAGCACTTTATCTTCCTGAAGGTAGGAGCTGGATTACAGGGTATCTTGAGGTGGTTTTCACTAAGAGCTGTGACTATGACAGGAACCCAGTATGTTTATCATTTGAGTTTTTGTGTAACGGCACTTTAGATATTCATCGAAATATGGGGGGTTTTGTGTCTACATGAGAAATTGTGTGTTGTCTGCACTGCACATATATAATCCGTGTTGTATATTACTGTGTCCCCTGTGGGGGTAAGAACAGGTTGTATGTTACATATGACATACTAATGTATGTGCTGTATATTGTACAGTTTGGGTGGCATGTTTTTGGGTTTATGGGCTACATGTCAATTATTATAGCTACTATATTGTTATAATCTATATATGCTGTATACTGTATTTGTGCATCTGAACTCCATGCTCATAGATTCAACTGCCTACTTAAATACCTCCACTTAGATGTCTAGTTTTCTTAAACTTAACATGTCCAAAGCAATCTAATATTCCCCACCATCTTTTCCAACTCCATAAATAGCAATCCCATTTTTCCTGTTCTCAGCCCAAAATCTTGGAGTCAGCTTTGACATTTTTTTCTCCCACATCCCACATTTAATTCATAAGTAAATCTTATTGCTCTAAAATAAATCCTGACCTTCAAAATATATCCAGTCTGTCCAACTCTCATATTCCCACTGTAACACTCTGGTCCAAGCCATCATCACCTCTCTTCCGGATTATTGCAAAAACCTCTGAATTGGTTTCCCTGCTTCCTCTCTTGCCCTACCATCTATTCTCAACACAGCAGCCAGAGGAAGCCAGTTAAAATGTAAGACACACCATGTCCCTTCTCTATTTAAAACCCTTAAAAGCTTACCCTTGACTTAGAGTGAAATTGAGAGTCAGCCATCACAATGGTGTAGCAGACCTTTGTGATCTGCTTCAAGTCAACTCTCTGCCTTATCTCCTCCTATTCTCTTTGCTCCAGCTGCACTGGCTTCCTCAGTGTTATCTGAACCACCAGGCATGCTCCTACCTTAGGGCCTTAGCACTTTCTCTTCTATCGCCTGATACTGCTGTCCCTGCAGATAAATGCATGGCTTATTCCTTCACCTCAAATGTCGCCTTCTCATAAAGGTGTGGGCTTCTCTGACCACTCCAAAACTATAACCCACTGCCCTCCTGGACTTCGCTCTTCCATTCCCTGCTTTATATTTCTCCTAAACCCTTATTACCATCTGCAATGCACTGTATTTTATTTATTTATCTGATTTCTTGTCTGTGTCACCCACTAGAAGGTAAGTCCCATGAGGGCAGACAAGGATTTGTGTCTATTTTGCTTACTGCTGAATCCCCAGTGCCTATAACAAAGTTAGGTGTTCAGTATAAAGAACTGAATTACATGAATGAATTCAGTTGGCTGAACTGATCAATGTTAGGTCTGCACATATTCATGCTCTTTGTGTGAACTGCCTATGCTATGTATGTAGTCTGCATGGTCCAGTCTGTCTAAACATTGTATGTTGTATTATTGCGGTTTCTGTGGGCTGTACTGGGTGGCTCTATGAAGTGTCCATGTGAGGGTTAGTATACAGTGCATTGTGTGTGTGATGTGTATTTACACTCTGAGCACTGTGCATGCAACCTGCTTTCTGCGTGTGTGTATGTATGCACAGGTGTGCATATCCATTCCTCACATATGCGGAAGCACATTGCATTCTATACCCCCTCAGAGTTTCCCCGTTACTCCTCATCTTGGGATATCCATACCGACAGCCTTGCAGTTCTTGGTTAATGTGTCCATCTCATAGCCAGGGTGGCACTCGCACTTAAAGTAGCCTTTGTAATTGACACAGATTTGGCTGCAGGCGTCTGGGTCCTCACACTCGTCAATGTCTGTGGGGAGGAGCAGATGTCAAAACTGGCAGAAAGATCTGCCTTTGCTTGAAGGTGTGAGGGGAGGGTCTCACCGCCACAGGTCTTCTGGTCCAGGAGCCGGTAGCCAGCTGGGCAGGTGCATTCAAAACCGATCTTGAGGTCAGTGCAGATGTGGGAGCAGCCGCCATTGTTGTGCAGACACTCGTTCAGCCCTGGGGAGGGACATGGGCTCCTGAGGGTCCAGGAGCCAGACTGCAGTGGGGACCAGACAGGGGTGCACCCAGAGCTGAAGCAGAGACTAGGTGCAGCGGAACTCCCACAGAGCCAGGATGCTCTGTGGCCTCATTGAGCCTCAGCCTCATTAACCAGGTGACTGAGCAAGAGGAGGGCCAAAGAGGGGCAGGTCCTTGCTCAAGGCCAGACACACAGACAGTGACAGAGTGGAACCAGAATGCAGGTCCTTTGCCTCCCAGGCCAGGGCTCTGTCCACTGCCAGGCTTGAGGCAGCTAGGTAGTCTAGCTGCCTAAGGTCTTTCCTTTCACAAACACGTTTCTTCCAGCTCCTCCTTCCTTGTGACCTGAGTTGAAAGGGCCTTCATGTCATATACCACGTTTAACCCTCAGGATACCCCAGTAATCCCTTCTGAAATATCCTTGCTTTGACATCTCCAGCCTCTGAAGCCCACTTCCCTCCCGAAGCAGCTGGCTCCACCTGAACAAAGTTCTTCCTCATAGGATCAGCCTCACTGTAGCTTCTGCTTCCGCTCTCCTCTGCTGTGTAGGGCTAGCCAGAGTCTAATGGCTCCCTCGGAATCTCCTTAAAGTGCTTATTTCTGGTCCTCTACAATTTAGGTACCTTTCTCTGGATTCATACCATCTGTCCATGTCCCTCTCCGGACAGGGCCCAGAGCTAACCCACCATGCGGAAGCAATCTGAACAAAGTGTGTCCTCTATTGAGCTGTGGTTATCTTAAGACTCCCAGGCCTTTTTCTAAATGAATTCTCTATCACGAACTACAATGGAATTTTTCATCTCCTCTCCTCTCAGCACTTGTCCCTCTTCCGACACTTAGTCATGGGCCTGGTCCCAGGGTTACCAACTGTTTCAAGGGATGAAGGGATGCCAGGGGGACATCTCGTTGCCCCATCATCCACTCCCTTACCACCTTCTGGCAGGATCCTAGAGGAGGTCAGAGAGGCCAGGACCAAGGCTCACCAAGTTCTAATAGCATCTTCTGAGTTTTAAAATCATAGAAGGTTAATTCTGCAAGCCAAGTGAAGGTGCCATACCACCCCTCTGCCCACCAGGCTCATGCACCACCACTCCAGCCAAGCCAAGCAGAGCTGAGCTGAGCCAGCCGCAGCCATGCACACAGCTGGTCTGAGCTGCCTCCCCCCAGGACATGCACAGCTGTGGATGCCCCACCTCCAGCCTGAGCCATACTTAGGGAATGTTCCCCTTCACCCCTGGGCCTCCTCCTGTTTCTCCGAGATGGCAGCAGAACTGAAAGAACAAGACCACAGCAACCCCATGACTAGGGGGCCTGGGAGTGACTCAGCCAGGCCTGGCCCTAGGAAGCCTCAGCCCCTTGGCATGGGTTGAGCCATGGTACCTTTGAGGTGGTCTCTGTGAGGTACCACCTCCAGGAATCTTTCTGTTACTCCAAGCCCTTCCTGCCCTCTCCCATACCATATTATTCCCTTGGGGCTATCTATTCATTTGTTCACCTACTCTCTGCCTCATTCATGTACCCACTCACTTTCTTCTTTTCCTTTTACAAGTAGCAGAAACTCAACACTGGTGTTTACTGAGCATGGATGGAATGGCATGTTTAGGAAGGCTTGGAAAGGGGAAAGGAGTGAGCCAAAGTGACTAAGGCTTCTATAGAAGAGGAAGGCAGAGTCCTCCAGGGCTGAGGTAGTTAGGGCAAGAACAGGGAGCTGGTCTGGACCTGTCCATCCTTGTCAGCCCTTCCCTAGAAGGCCAGCACTGAGGTGGAGGCTGAAGGGGAGTCTCTGGGCCTTCTCAATTCTATCTAGCCTAGAGGTGATTCTATTGGAGAGCCTGCAGGGGAGGAGAGGGGCAGATGGTCCAGAGAGCTTGGGCAGCATTTGAGGTCCCTCATAGAAGGAAGGGGCAAATCCTTCAGCAGGCCCTTCCCCAGCACATGCACACACCTGCATGCATACACACACCAGCTTATATGCAGAGGCACAGACAGGCCTATGGACTCCACAGACACATTCACACAGATGTGGGAACACACACAGAGACATGGGAATGCAATTCCCTTGCTTTACTCAGAGAAGGAGGCATGGATACAGATACTGGCTCTTACCAGCACAGAGACACAAACACGTGCGTACATACGTCTCTTTGGTGTGTCATGCAGAAGATGAGAGAGAAGAGAGTTTAGGTTAGCAGTCCCTGGCTAACTCCAAGTCTAGGCGGGGCTGGAGGCTAGGTTCAGTTGTTCCTGCTTCCCTATCCTCTCTTCCATAGGTTCCTTCTTCTGAGACTTTTCTTGGCAGGGCCTTTGGGGTGGGGGGTAGGTGGAGAGTCTATAACCTGCAAGTTCAGGTGCAGGCTGAGTAACCTTCACCCAGCTATTCTTCCTTTCAAAATCAATTTTTTAATCTTCAACAGGGACAGAAACATGCTGTTCCTAGGGAGCTCCAGAGAGTGAAGTTCCTCTGAGTGCCCAGGAAGGGAGGTGCTGGGTGAAAATGTCTGCAGGAAGGTAGGGTGAGAGAGTCTGACCTAGGCTCTGTCCTCCCAGATATTCTCTGTCCAAACCCTTGACCTCGGAAATAAACTTTCCTGGAGCCCACACTGGGTTTCCTGTGTATTTTCTAGGATACTCACCCCACCTACAGCCCAGACTCTCTTGTTCTTTCTAGCCTGGAACCCATCCCGACAGCTCTAACCATCAGGACAGCCACCCCCTTCTGCTCCTCACGCATATCCAGCCTGTTAGTCTGGTTCCCAGAAAGCCTGAGCTCCTCAGGGCTCAGGAATGGTATCACCCTCTGCTGCTTGGTCTGTCTTCCCCTTACCCAGGCCCTGCCTGAGCCGGGTGGCCTTGGCATGTGCCTCAACTGGCCACCTGCATGCTGTTTCCCACCTCTCCCTCTACAGGGACTCCTTCAGGGGGATAGAAGGCCTCAGAGGCTGGGGCCCTGGCTAGGTCAGCAGGGTAGAAATACTGAAGAAGAGAGAACGTTCCAGACTGAGCACACACCCAGAGGTCTGAATGTGGAAGGAGTGAGGAGGAGAGGATGGGTTTGTGAGAGGAAGCACAACGTTTTGAGCATCTGGACTGGAAAGGAAAGGCCTAGTTTTGTAGAGATGCAGAACGAGAGGCCCCAAAAGTAAAGAGCCTGGTCTGAGGCTGCAGGGCAGTGTGAGAGGCCAGAGAGAGGGTCAGAGCAGAACAGGTGCTGAAGGGCAGGCAAGGGCTTTGGCCAGGCTGCCAGGAGAGGGTGTGGAAGGGAAGATTAGTTAGTCCAGCAGTTGGATGCGGACAGGTACTGTACCAGACTCTTTCAGAGGCTCATCCGACCAGTCCCGGCAGTCCCTCTGAGCATCACACACTTTCCCGCCGTCCACGCACTCGCCACTCTTACACTGAAATCTGCGGGGACCCTCACATGTTGACTCTGTCGGGCCAGACAAAAGAGTGGACAGCACCTGTGAGACCTTCAGCAGGGAGGGCTGGCTGCATGGGAGGTGAGCAGAGCTCCACCCCCAGTCCCCGCTGGTCTCTAGAGGGTGGCCTAAGACAGACAGCTGCATACAGGGCTGGTGGGAGCTCTGCTCACAAGGCAAGACCTCAGGGATGATCAGGACCCCAGCGATGATCAGGATGCTCAAGCATCACCTAGCTGGGCAGGGTTGGGGGCTCTCTGTCTTATCTGGCAGTATCATCAGAGGCTCATCCGACCAGTCCCGGCAGTCCCTCTGAGCATCACACACTTTCCCGCCGTCCACGCACTCGCCACTCTTACACTGAAATCTGCGGGGACCCTCACATGTTGACTCTGTCGGGCCAGACAAAAGAGTGGACAGCACCTGTGAGACCTTCAGCAGGGAGGGCTGGCTGCATGGGAGGTGAGCAGAGCTCCACCCCCAGTCCCCGCTGGTCTCTAGAGGGTGGCCTAAGACAGACAGCTGCATACAGGGCTGGTGGGAGCTCTGCTCACAAGGCAAGACCTCAGGGATGATCAGGACCCCAGCGATGATCAGGATGCCCAAGCATCACCTAGCTGGGCAGGGTTGGGGGCTCTCTGTCTTATCTGGCAGTATCAGAGCTCAGGGAGAGAAAAGAAGCAATGTAGCAACTCTACAGAGACCCTGGGGGCCAGACTGACCTCCTCCTGAGGGACACTTATGTCTCAGGGGCCTTGCATCAGGGAGGCTGCCTCACCTCCCAACGCTTTATCCATTTCCCCAGATGACCAGTGCATCGGGGTCCCTGCTCTTGCAGCAGGTGAGTGATGACCAGAAGAGCCATCTGGGAATTAAGGGGGCTCCCAGTCTCTACTCAGTCTGGAAACTAGTGAGGGAAGCCACTTGGAGATCTGAACGTGGACAAATGGTGGGGGCTGGACTTCCTGCAGTGCCCTTTTGTGCCCCGCAGGTACTTTCAGCTTTTGCAAAGTTCTTAAAAATCTAGTTCTGGTGCTATTAGGACTCCAGGGAGGGGATCCAGATGGTTTAGGGGCAACTGATGCTCTGGGGAAAGATGCATCTCAAGGACTAAGGGGAGGCAACTCCCAACTCTGTTCTTCCTGGAGCCAGGGAAAAGCTCAGGGCTTTTCCTCACAGAGGACTCTGCCCCTCCGCCTCCAACCACACGCACCCTGCAGGCAGCCAGCTTCATCACTCCCGTCTGGACAGTCCTGTTCCTGGTTGCAGAGCTTGATTGCAGAGACACAGGTCCCATCCCCACACTGGAACTCATCTCCACGACAGGTTCCCAGCGCTGCCAGGAGAGGGCAAGGGGTGAGGGTCAGGGCCAACATGGTGTTGGGACAGCTTTCCTCTCCCCACCCCCACCCCACAGCCATCCCTGGCAAGAACAGAACCTGTGGCTGAGCGTGGGAGTCCTTGAAGGACACCTGACCAAGGCACTTGCAGTGTACGGATGGGAGACTGAAGCTCAGAGAGGGGGAAGGCCTCACCCAGAGTCACACAGTACTCTGGCTGGCAGAGCCAGGACTAAAACTCAGGTCTCCTGTTTCCCTGTCCACTGCCTCTCCCCAGGGCCACCTCTCCAGAGTAGACACATAGCCTTTTGAGTCTTGTTGCTTAAAGACTTCATCCTTCAGCAAACCCTTCCTGAGCACCCACTGTGTACAGGGTGCTGTGCCTGACATGGGAACACAGAGACTACTAAGAGTCTCCCATTCTCTAGGAGCTCAAGGGTGCAAAAGGGGGCTGAGGAATGAACAGAGGACAACAATAGTGTGGGATGTGCTGAGAGTGTCTTAGGGACCTGCAGGAGCCCAGGGAAGTGACCCAGCTGGAAAGGTGGGAGGAATCTGCGTGAGGCCTTGAAGAATGAGCAGGCCCAGCAGATAGGGAGGGGAGGAGGAGTTCCTGAGTGTACCAAGGTCTCCCAGCGCTGGAACCAGTGGGTGACTGCCTGGGACTGGGAAGGGCAGGGGTGGGAGGTATGACAGAGAAGGCATCATCAAAGGACACAGGTACCCACGAAGACCCTTGGCCTCTGGAGTTAGACCTGAGCTTTGCAGACTAGTAGCCACGTGACCTCAAACAAATCACTTTTCCCAAGCTACGGTAAATTGGAGTAATACAGACAAGCGAGGAAAGGAAGGTGTGCCTGGTGGACGCGTGGTGCGTCAGGCAGCCCAGGGCTGAGAGCAGCGGGGCTGGGCGCTATGGAAGGGCGGGGCTTACGGCAGTCGGCCTCGTCCGACTTGTCCTTGCAGTCGTGGTCGCCGTCACAGCGCCAGCCCAGGTGCACGCACTCGCCGCTGCGGCAGGCGAACTGGGCAGCGATGGCACAGGCAGCGGGCGCGGACGTGGCCCCCGGGCCAGTGCGGCCGCAGAGCTCAGCCACCTCGTCCGAGCGGTCCTCGCAGTCGAATTGGCGGTCGCAGACCCAGCGCTCGGGGATGCAGGCGCCGCCGTCGCCGCCGCAGCGGAACTCGCGGGGCCCGCAGGCCGGGTCAGCACAGCCGCGCTCGTCACTGCCATCGCCGCAGTCATCGTCGCCATCGCACACGAACACCGCGGCCAGGCAAGTGCGGTTGCTGCACTGGAATTCATGCGGGGCGCACACTGCGCGGGACAGAGAGCGGGTCGGCCCTCTGGACCTCATCCCCAGCTACCCGGCCCGCTGGTCCTGCTACAAGGGTCCTGACCCTCACCTCTGGGCCACAGTGAGCCCTGCTGGGGGGCCAAATGGTGGACATGTCCTCAAAGGGGCTTCCAATCCAGGTCCTGCCAGGGTCATGCAGGGTGACCTTGGGCAACACACTTGCCCTCCCTGAGCCTCCCCAGCCTGAGTGGGAATTCCAGTCCTGCTTCCAGCAGGACGGTGGCACTAGGAAAGTCTCTAAAGCTATAAAATGCTGCCTGTCTTGAAGAACTTTGTGATGTCCTAGGAAATGATATGCAACATGAACAAGTTCTGGAGCTGTTTCTTTATAGTACAGCAGCACAATTTAGCCTCTCTGCTCCCTACCCCCAGTTGCCTGAACTACCCTGTCTAAGTCCCCTGACCTGGCATCCAAAGCCACTGTCATGGAGCCACTCCTCCGTCCCATTACCTACCTCATTCCTGCACATACCCTGGCTTCAGTCACACTAGACCATTTGCACACGTTCCCACTTTGGGCCTTTGCTCAAGCTGTTCGATCCGCTGAGTACATACCTCTTGCCATCACTGTCTCTACACTTTACAATGAGTTCTCATCATTCAAGGGCCCAAATTCCACCTCTTTCATAATACACTTCATGCTCCCCTGCTTGGGAAGCCTCCCTTCACTTCTCCTCTCCTGTTGGGTGCCTTTCATATCATGCTCGGGTGACTAGGTCTCATATCTTTCCTACTCTGTCTGCCCCATGACCACAAATGGCACGTGGATATGCTCTTGAGACTAACTCAAGGCCTGGCACAGAGCTCCCTGCAGTGAGCAGGCGTGGCATGGATGGATTCTGGACTAGCCTGCGTGTGAGGAGTAATTTAAGGATGTGCAGTAGTTAAGGACGCAGGTCACTGGCTCTGCCTGGGGGCCCTGGGCTTCCCCTCTCTGGTGGGCTGCTCTGAACTCAGGAGCTAGGAGAGCCTTAGAGATTGCCAGCACAACTTCCAGTTTACAGATGAGGAAACTGAGACCCAGAGAAGGGAGCAATTTTACCAGGGACACACAGTCAGTCCAGGGTGACAAGGGAACCAGAACTCAGGTTGGGGCTCTTCCTTCCTACTCTGATTCCTCTTGGTTTTCTGGTTTTCTCCTGGAGTGTATACTTCCTGGAGTGTAAGCTGTTTCCAGAGCAGCAACCTCCTTGCCTCTACTTACACATAGGCCAAGAATGAGCCTGGAGGTTCAGGGGGCAGGTAAGCGGCCACAGGTAAGTGGTGGTGGCAGCACCAGATCTTTCCACATGGGGGCGCTAGGAGTCTGTTTTTATTTTCTAATAAAATTATTTCATTGTTTCTGAACATAAAATAGAATGATGTCTTCAGTTTCGCATGTAGGCAGCTCATGTCATATATTACTGACAGTTCTATCAAGTTTCTGACAGATGCATTTTTTTCCCCTTCTGGGTTTTTGGGATGTTAGGGCATTGGTAGGAAAAGTACACACTACGCTGTGATGTCTGCCTCTCAAGATTATGCCAATGCCTAGATTAGCTCCCCTCCTTCCTGTCCAGATGCAGCCAGTACATGTCCAGGGAGGGAGGACTCATTATGTCTAGAGTTCTGGGAGGAAGTGCTTCTTTGTACTGTGTTCTCTCCAAGGTTTTGATGCTGACAGCATCTTTAAGATCTATATTCACAGGCCTACGCACAGAGACCCAACTCCCAGCATTCACAGATGGAAGAAGCTCTGAAGGATGAGAGAAGAGAGAATTCTTTTTCCTTCATGCAGGTGGTTGGGAGCTGTAGAGGAGAAGCCCACTAATTCCTTCTAACACTCCTATCTGTAATAATTAACAAGAACTGTTCTGCCACAACATGCCCTAGTTAGAGCTATTCTCACCCCCTGCAATAGTGACTGATGGCCTTTATGACTGAGGAAACATCTGATTATGGGGGCTAGGAGGGGAAAGGATTCTCGTTGGCTGATGAGGCACCACAAAATTATCCAGCTGAAGAAACGAGCCAGTGCCTTCACTAGGGATTTGAAACTTCTCCCCCCACGCAGATGCTTCCTACTTCAGACACATCCAAACTCCAGACTTAGAATCTTAAGAGTGCTGTGACTCAGAAGCCTCCAGAGGAGATGGCATCTACCCTGGGCCAGGAAGGATGGATAGGATGCAAATGCAGAGGCTGGTGGAAAGAATTGGGTGGAAGACTGTGGTGGGCAAGTGCCTACCTGGCAAAAGCTCCTGAGTGACTGCCCATACATATCTCAGCCTAGCTTCACAGCCTAGTTATTGACAGCCAGTCCATCTCCCCCATTAATCATGAGCTCCCAGAGGGAGGACTGTGTAGGATTCTCCTCTTTGTCCCTTGCAGAGCCTGGCTCCAGTAGGTGCCCATTGAATTGAAACGAGCGAGGCCTGGCCACGCTCCCCACTGGTGCAGGACCTGCTGGCCTGCTCCCCAGGAAGGAGATAATCCTGTGTTTGAAGCTCAGTGATGTGGAACAGTCCCAGTGACTACTTCCATCTGTCCCTGCTGAGGCTGTTGGGAATGTCTTCACCGCCTGGTGACATTTGCACTCGAATCTAAGATTTCAGCAATAGTCATCCTTCACACCTCAGGAATCTGTGCCCCCACCCCCACCCCACTGCCAGTGCCCTAGCCCAGGCCACCATTTCTTGCTATGGCCCCTCTGCCTGTTCTCCCTGCCTTCGCTTGGAGATCAGTAGAGACTTATGGAATGGATGAGCAAATGTCAGGCATGGTAAAAAACTCACGAGCTTTACTGTCCAGACCTGAATTTGAATCTCTGTTCCAGTTCCATCACTCATCCTTGGGTCCTTTTCCTCGCTTGTCTGAGCCTCAGTGTCCTCACCCATAAATTGGAAATGATAATGGCTACTTATGAGGTGGTAATGAGGATGAAAGAAGAAAATGTCTCCAAAGTGCCTGGCCATTGCTAGTGTCCTGATCATCACCCTTTCCTCTCCACTGACCAACCCTCCCCCCGTCCCCCCACCGCCCAGGGCTGCCTGACCATGCTGGGTAGACATTGGGGATCTGACCCCGGACTCACAGGTGGCACAGCCGGCCTCGTCCGCTCCGCTTTCGCAGTCCTTCTCCCCGTCGCAGCGCCACGAGGCGGGCACACACTTGTGGCTGGTGGGTCCACAGCTCAGCTTCTCTGCAGGACACACCTGCTTGGCTGTGGAGACAGACACACGTGCATGGCTTGGCCAAGGGGGATACAGTGCATGGCGCCAACCAGTCACATTGCCTGGTCCCAGCCACCTGGCCTGAGGCCCTGAGAATCCATCAGAGACTTCCTGTTTCATGTCCGAGTTACTTCATCTGAGAAGAGGCCCATGTCTGCCCCTAAGGCTTTCTGAATCCTACATCTGACTCTACTGCTGCCCTGCCTAACACCCTGGCTCCTGGTCCCTGGCACTCAAGCCAATCCTTGATCCAGCCAACCCCTGCCTGCCTCACCAGCCCTACCTCCCACCCCTCCAAACTGCCCCTTTAAGCTACACCAACATGGAGCTGCCATACCGTGCATGCATATCTGTCATTTCCCATCTGTGTATCCTTGAGCAAGACATATCCCAGTTAGGCCTTGGTTTGCCTTCCAGATCAATGACACTATGAACCAAACCTGTAGATCTGAAGGGCTCTCCAAGACCCCAACAGCTGCCTGGGTACAATGCACCCCCTCTAAGCCCCTACCCTGGCTATGATGCCAAGCCTGCTGCTGAGAGCAGCCTCTGAGTGGCAGGGCCCAGTGGGACCTCACAGCTATAATTACTGCAGCCGCAATCAGAGGCTGACTCAATCAGGAGCCCGAAGCCCCAGGGCTGATTCTCAATTTGGAAGAAAGAATGAGAACCCTGATCAGGGCTGAGGATGGCTCTCGCCCTGAGCATTCCAGGATGACCCACGTGACAGACCCAGCCAAGGCAGACACATCTGAGACCTTGGCTGGCTCCTGACTGCCTTTCAGGGTATACCGGAGGCCCAAACTCAGTGGTTTCTAGGGTATGCCAGGCAGTCTTAGTCTTCACAATAACCCAGCAGGGTGAAGATTCTGTTGTGGCCTCCAGCACAAGGTCAGCATGGAGGTCAAGAGCATGGGCTCTGGAGCCTGGCTGCCTGGGTTCGAGTCCTAGATTGGTCACTCACTGGCTACCTACCTTGGCCAAGAATCCTTATCTCTGTGCTGATAAAGTGGTGATAATACTATTTCTACCTCACAGGATTGTTATGACAACTAAGTTAATGCCTGGAAAGCACTTAGGAGAACGCCCAGACCTGTGCGCACTGATGATACCTACTATTATTCTCCACACATAACAGGTGAAGATTGATTTATTCTCTCAGTGAGTGTCTATTGAGCACTGCTGTGCACCAGACACAGTGGAAGTCACACAGCTGGTTAAGAACAGAGTGAGGACTCAGAGCTAGCTGTGTCTGATGCCAGAGACTGGACACAATCCATTGCACCCAGAGGCAGAGGGTTACTGTTGTCTGACCCTAGTTCTTCTCTTTGATCTCAGAATAGTTTACTCTCTTTTTCCATAGCTGGGATGAGAGGCCACAAGGGATGGAGAAAAGGGCATAGACAAGATGGGGCTGTCGGTGGGTATCTGAGTCCAGGCCTCAAAACACTACTGCACCATGGGAGAGGAGTTCCTTAGACCCAAGTGTGTACCCCAAAGTTATCCTTCGAATACATTTCATGAAATAGAAGGCAACCTATTGGAAATATAGGATTCACAGGATTCATTTTATAGAAATTTCCCTTTACAAATAACTCTTGGATTGAGCCCTGTAAAGTGCTGACACTCAAAGACCTTTTACAAAGGCCACCTTGGGGCTGCAATGAAGAGTGGTTAAGGGCCTGAGAGTCAGGAGGTGGGGCCCTTCCAGGGTATATCTGTCACCAGCACACACTGTGGGACCGCAGTATGCACTTCTCCTCTGGGCCCACCAGAACACAAGAGAGCTGAAGCTGACCAGCATTTCCCAGTCCTGACCAATGGATGAGGGTGTAGGGGCTGTTGGAAATGCAGAGTCTTGGGCCCTAGCTCATACTAGACTGAATCCAGACTTCAAGGGCAGAGCTCAGGAATCTGCATTTTAGTAACACCCGCCCCCGCCCCTGCTGATTCCCATTTGAGAACCCCAGGTTATCATTCTGCAAGTCCAAAAGCTATAGGATACTTCATCTATTAAATTCACTCCCATCAAAGTGACAGCAGTGTTTGTTTGTTTCTAGCCCCTGCAAAAGCAGTGAGATGGAGAGGGACATCCCCAAGCCAGGCCTCAGGAAACAACCTTGCACAGGAGTTGGAAGGAAGCCATATTTACTGAGCACATACAGTATGTCAGGCTGCTCCATGCTGAGGATTTAATAATTTCACATTTCACTTTTACCCTTACTCTGACAGGTAAATAGTCTCTGCAAGCTCTGGGCACAAACTCGAGGGCCACCATTCACAAAGATCATCATCATGTCAACAGTGCCCTTGGAGTGGAGCAGGGCAGTGGTCCCTCATCCATTTTACAGATGAGGAAACTGAGGCTCAGAGAGGCCAAGTAACTGGCCCAGAGATGCACAGCAGTGAAAGGCAGGATCTAGGTTCCTCTGATTAGAGTCCTGCCCTTTACATCAAACCCCACATACTCTTGTGGGTAAAGTGGTCCAGACCTGGCCCCAGACTCTACGCCCAAAAGCCCAGGTGACTGAAATATCTCTTGACTGTCTGTACCACCTCCGGGGGCCTGGTTCTGAAGACCCCAGTGCAGCAGGCAGCTGCTTGAACTTTTAATGAATATTTATACAGTTAATTGCATAACCTTTCAGCAAGGACAATGATTAAACAATCCGTCTGCTTCCTTTCTTTATAATTAATAAGACTTTTTCAGGGTCCCTAAATAGACAGCTCTAATTACAGGGTCTTGAGGATTCAGCAGTGCCTGACACCAGCCCTCCTGCCCTCAGAGAACCAAGGCACTGTCTTGGAATGCCGGGACGTGCAAGTCCGTGGAGGTCATATTGAGGAGCAGCCACTGGAGTGACAGGAGACTGAGGCCCAGAGAGGGTAAGGGCCCTGCCAAGGCTACTAGATGCTGGGTGTTCCAACTGCCTATCTCTCCTGGAACCTCACTGCCTCTGTTGTGATGCAGCTCCTCCCCAAAGCCAGATGAACCTCACTCTCAGGGCTCCTGGGCAAGGCCTGTCACTACTTAGCCCTGGGATGCTGGTCTGGGTACGTTAGCTACTGACGTACATTACCTCCTTATGAGGTGGGTACTATCACTACCTTCATTTTACTAATGAGGATACCAAAGCTCAGATAGGGTAAGTCCTTTGCTCAAAGTCTTGCAGTGAAGGGTAGAGCTGGACTTCCATTCTGGGTCTTGATTCCAGTTACACTGCTTGTCTTATTGCACTTAACCACTGCACACGAGAAAGGCAGGCCCCACCAGTCCAAACCCTCTCTCCGCCCTGTCAGTCTCTTTGGCATCTCTGGGATCAAAAGTGGTCACTGGAGGAAGGAGGCTCACCAGGCCTCTGCTCAGGCAGGGTCTGCAAGATGGCAGATGGCCATCTCCGATGTCTACTTTCAAGATGACTGAAGCCAAAGGCTCCAGGTAGCACGATGTAGAAGACAGAGCATGGGTTTTGGAGTTGGACAGACCTAGGTCCAAATCTTATTAACTAACATGAAGGTCATCCTTCTGCAAGTCACTTAACCTTTCTACACCCTGGCTCCTCTCATCTGAAAATGGGGTTACATAATCTCCTATAGTTGGTAGGTGGTTTAAATGGGGAAACATGGCAATCCCTACACTCAGAGCCTAGCGCAAACTCGGAGCTCAGGAAACAATTGCTCTTGTTTTATGTCATGAACTGCAAATGCAAAGGGCTGGGAGGGCCCTGGTCTCACTCCTGGAGATCCATGTTTTCACAGTCCGCATGGACCACCATGAAGTAGTCCCCATCCCAGAATTTGTACCTCTCTCTCTTTCAATCTCTCTCTCTCTGTTTTCCTGTCTGTCCCTGTCTCTCTCTGAGTTGGATGCCTAAGGGATGCTTTCGGCCTGCTATCCAAGTATCCCCAGGTTTTGAGAGGTAGGAGTGAAGAACTCACTGTCTCAGACATCAGGAATCCTGTACAGTTGCCAAGGGCCTGACACTGCATCCTAAAGTGGCTGTAGGCATTGATAAATTCACAGAAAATCCTGTCCCAGAAACTCAAACCCATGGGTACTTTCTTTAATTCATAAGTTCACAAATTAATAAAAAAGGAAATGTCTGTTGAATAAAAGAATGAAAGTGCTTGATGGCTGCTTATTGAGTGAGCAGGGGCAGACGACCTCCAAGTGGACCAGAACTCAGGCAGTGGGAACTATCAGGGTCCAGCTCCTGCCCCAGGAAGCATGGCATGGGACCATCCATCGTTCAGAATGGGGCAGTTAGACGACGCTCCTTCACACCAGGTCAGGCGGAACACTTGTAGCTAGGTCAGCTCCTAACCTGCTGGGTGATCTCAGAAAATCTCTGGGCTTTCATCCACTTCCTGGTCTATAATAGGAAGGTACACTTGGTTTATCGGTGAGGTTCCCTTCTAGGTGGAAAGTTTCTAAGATACGTGAATAAAATCCCATTTTCAATAAGCAGCAGCCAGAATTATAACTCATTCACCTTGAACCAATCTCTCCAGCCTCACTCCCTCCCCCAACAGATGCCTGAAGGTAGGTCAGAAGCCGTCCCCAATCAAGTAAACTATAATTAGAGCTGAAATGCTGCTTGCATTAGGCAAATGTCCTGGGCTTTCCTACTGTGACTCCTGGCTATATTTGATAGACACAGAATCCAGAACCAGAAGGAAACGGAGCTGGGAGGAACCCGAGCCAGGTAGGGGCAGATGACATAGTGGGGGAACACAAGAATGAAGATCTGCTCCCAAATCCCTTTCCTTCTCAATGTAATTCCCTCTCCCCACTCACTTATACTATTCTAAGATTTTTAATTGGTATATGTCCAAGAAAGGGCCTGAAGTCGAATAGAATAATAAAAATAACACTGCCAATTACTCCAGCACTGACACTGTGCATGCAATTTTTTTCATTTGATCCTCACATCCCCTATAAGACCGGTACCATGACCCCATTTTTCAGATGAATAGAGTGAGGCTCAGGGAGATTAGGCAATTTGTCTGAGGTCTCACAGGTTAGGGTACCTGAACCCAAATATATCAAACACCAAACCCACTACACTTTACTATCGCCTATAACCTTTCTTTGAGAGTGGGGAGGGGACTGTATCCTGGGAGCTGGCACAGTCTCCAGAAACCTGGTAGGCTGTGACGGTTGCTATAGCAACATCAATTAAATGGGCAGCATGTTGGCTGCCGGATTTTCATTCAGTCAGGAAGCTGTGAGCAAGCCTGCTACTAGGTCTTGCTGCCCCCAATTCTGCTGGACCCTCAAGGTCCCACCCTGGCTAACCTCCTCCAGGCAGTCCTCCCCACCCACAGGCTTTGCCCACCCCTGACGATGTAACTCTTTATGGGAAGTGGGATCCTGGGCCTTGTGTCCCAGCTGGGTATAGGCAAGAGAGGAAGAGGGTCTCAGAATCCTAAGAGTTCAGGAATCTTAGAATCATAGCCTTAGGAATTCTGGAAAGTTAGAAACCGGGCCCAGAGAGGGGCAGAAAAGTATACAGGACCTCATACCAGATCACTGGAAGAACCCAGAGAACTAGGCCTCCCAATTGCTTGTGGAGCCTGTCTGTTGTCTCGGGAGGCAGACTAGCCAGGAACAACCCCTGTGTCTTGGAAGCAAGGCCCTCAACTTCTCTAGACCTCCAGTTGGCTGTCAAATAACAGTGCCTCAGAGCTGGGCTCAAAATGGGCCTGAGAGACATGGAAGAGTGAGGCCAGAGGGCCCTGCATAGCCCTGAGGATGGGAAGGCAGCAAGTGCAGATGGGCAAAAGGGAGAAAGACAGGGAAACATAGGGCAGGGCGGGGAGGGGAGAGACTTCAAGAGGGAGGATGAGAAAGAGGGGCAGGCAGGGAAAAGAAGCTGACCAAGAAAGCAGGGGTGGGCAGGACCCTGCGGGGTGGGGACAGGAGGAAGATGAAAGGGGCACCAACATAAAGAGAGATGCGGGGAGAAGCGGGAGCACAGCTCTCAGGCAGCGGGATAGATCTCTGTATAACTGTGATGAGGCTCCCCTTTCCTCCCTTTCTGCCCCCAGTGTTCAGGGTAACTGCTACAGTGGCATCCGGACCACTGAGCTGACTGACTACAATGGCGGAAAAGCCCCCTGTGGCTATAGATCCCCTCCCCAAGCACACACACCAGGCTGCACACAACTCTGCCCCTCGTTAGTTGGCTAGCCTTGGGCAAATGGCAGAACCTGTTCCAGACTCAGTTTCCTTCTCTCTAAATGGGGATCCATCCCCCCTACCCCACATCTAAGGTTGCCATGAGGATGAGTCACAGTGGGCGTGGCTGGACTTTGTTCCTTTTGAAGCTCAGGATAAAGCACTAGCTGCCCCCTACCCAGGCACCTCCAGGACAGCACTGGGTTTAGCTACTTGATGGGGTAGATAAAAGCTAGGGCCTGTGGCATGGCAGAGAAGGCAAGGGCAGCAATGCAAAGAAACAAGGGGGCCCCCTGTTTCTTAGGCCTAAGTCAGGGCTCACGCGCTCTCTGTCTCTCCCCTCCCGCCTCCCTTCCCTCTCCCCCTCCTTCCCTCCCTCTCTCCCTCCCTTTTTCTTTCTCTCTCTCTCTCCCCTCCCTTTCTCTTTCTCTCATGCAGAGACTGGTAGCTCTGTTGCTAGGAGACAAGGAAACCCAGTTATCACCAGGCGCAGCCCTAGATGGGACTCTGGCCTTCATTGTCCCCATCTCTGCCTCTGGGGCAACTGTGACCCCTAACAAGGACCTGGGACTGCTACTCGCAGGTCTCTGCCAGCCCCACCATCCTCCACGTGCTTCCCCCACCCCAAATCCCCCTGCCAGCCTTTTGTCTCAGGCTCACTTGGCTGAAGTGCTGCCCCTGGGACCACTGGGTCCTTCCCCACCCCCTTCTCATTTCCTTTTTAATTTAACAAATGTCATGGAATGACCTGCGGGGTGTAAGTTTGCTTTGAGGATTAGGCCTGGGAAAGAAATCACAGAGAGACAAAGCACTGAGTATGGAGGTGGGCCTGGGGCTAGGCTCTGGCCTTTCTGCCTTACCCCTGGCTGCCTCTGCTGCCACTCAGCCTGCCATGGAGGCTGAGGCTCCTGGGCTCAGCTTGTCTAGGGCAGTTGAAAGAGCTGAGGCCTTAAAGTCCTGGCTGGGTAGCCTTGGGCAGGTCACTCAACCTCTCTGAACCTCAGATGTCTGCCTTTGCAAAATTCAGAAAGTGACAGTACCTGTGGCAGCTGCGGGGATAAGATGAATTAATGTATAACAAGAGCTTAGCACAGTGCCTGGCACATAGTACATGCTTTATAAGCACCAGCTGTCATTAATACTATTAGAATGATGACTGGAGTCTTCAAAAAATAGAGGGGAGGCCTAGAGGATGTGCTATGGCTACTTCTGGGCAGAAGGCTGGACAAGGCTGCTTCTAGCTCCTGGTACTACTGTAGGAGCAGGACCCAACGTGCAAGAGGGCTGTGAAGAAAGGCCAGAAACAGGTCACTAGACACCAGCTACTCGATTCACCTGTTGGCCAGGAGCCCCCAAAGCATAGCACATAAGTCTGGGGCTATATTGACAGATCACCTCACTTGAGCCTCCCAACCTCCCAACAGGGAAGATCTGATAAGTAAACTAAGGCCCAGAGTGAGGCCCTCCTCCCTCAGCCCAAGGGGCAGGACTCACTGCAAGCGGCCTCAGACTCATCGGAGCCATCAGAACACTCCTCCTCGCCATCACACTTCCACCGCTCAGGGATGCAGTGGCCATTGTCACAGGTGAAGTCGCTGTCCATACAGGTCTTCTTGGCTGTGGGGTAAGGAGAAGAGTGTGAGGGATCTGGTGGGCACAGGAGGCTTTTCTGAGACAATCAGGTGACTGTGGGTGACTAGCATGTGCTGGACCACCCGACCTCCCATGGCCCTACTAGGCCACAGTGTGCTCTGCCAACCGAGAAGAGAGGACAGGAGAGAAAGGCTTATTCATCCATATGCATTTACTAAGCACCAGGTGGAGACGGGTGCCACAATTGTCCGGCCCTCCAAGTCCAGAATGCAAGTTCAAACAAGGGTGACAGAATCCATCTACCAAGGGAATGCCTGTTCCCCTGTCATAGCCTCCAGGAAGCCTTCCCTGATCACCTACGGCAGCTGCTTTAGCCTCTTCAGCCAGTTCTCAGTCCCTTTACCTGCCTGTTTTGCTCCCCGCAACCAGACCACAGTCGAAGCCCCTTCAATAAGCACCAAGGGGCTAGTGATAATAAATCATAAAGGCAAATGATTATTTTGTGTCAAGATTAATGAGTTAACTTCAGTTCAGAGTGGTGGAAAGACAATCTACTGGGCAAGACACCTACATCAGTTTCTGCCCCTAAGGTGCTTCCAGTCTGGACAGGGAGGTCTCCACATGGGAGGTGGGAGAGTTGAATCTCAGCTCTGCCTCCTTCTATCTGTCTGACCTTGGGGTTGTTACTTAACCCCTGAGCCTCTGTTTTCTTATCTGTGTGATGGGAAGGAAACAAAAGGCTCTGAGGAGGAATAATAAGAAGTTACAATGTATGAAGAACACACAGCTGAGAGCCTGGCACATAGCAGGTTTGGTAGGTAGCAGCTATTGCTGTTTTTATGGTTCATGTCTTAATTAGAAGCAAAGGAAATGGGGTGTTCTGTTCCTTCACAGGGAGCGTATGTAGAAGGCTGAGATCTCAACAGCTGGTAGCGTAACTGGGACAGGAACACAGGGACCGCCAACATGGTTTGCTCTCCTCCCTGTCCCTCCTGTGTAGGGACTATGTTACATTCAGCACAGGACCGAACTCGGGGTCACTCTCAGTAGGGGCACTGAGCCCGGTGGAAACATAGCTGTCCAGCCTCTGCTTGCATACCTCCAGGGTGGGGCTCCCCTTCTCTCCAGAAACTCCTTCCCAGTGGCCAGGCTTGGATTACGTACATCCTCCCACAGGCTCTCTGACTGCCTCTGGAGCCATGTGACTGCTCCCCCTGCCCTCAGCAGCCTGGCAGGGACTTGGGGAAAGACACAGACTGTCCCGCATCCATTCCATTTCTGCCTTTCTTTTCAGTGGAATCCTGGTAGTATATCTGCATTCTAAGATGAGTTTCTTCGCACTTTCCCTAGAAGAACATCTGTCTGTGCAGGGCTGGAAGAAACCAGAGGAATCAGAATCCACCTATAGGTGGGGATCCTGAGGCCTGGAGAGGGAAAAGCGCTGGCCCAGAGAAACAGCAAGGCAGGGATCAGAAGCTTTCCTGATTGCCAGCCCAGGGTCCCAAGCAGCATCTCTCTGAGCCCTGTGCGGAGGGGTAACTGTAGGTGATAGATACCAATGCCTCCTCTTGGTGAAGCATCTAAAAGTAAGTACACAGCACCTGGGGTACTTCCTAACAGAGTGTTCCTTCCACCAGAAGTTCAGCATCTAAAAAAGAGAATGCCAGTCTCTGTGCTAGGTACTTTACCAGGAAACCCCATGACAAAGGGCCCGTTATGCCCCTACTTGCCACATGGGAAAATCCAGGCCCAGGGGTGTTGGGTTATATGCCCAAGGTCACATCTGGGTGGGAGCAGGGCTACAATTTGACCTCACAGTCAGATGCCCCTGGTAGCTGCTGTTAATCCCATTTTATAGAAGAGGAAATTGAGGTTCAAAGAGGTGAGGGTATAGGTAGCAGAAGTGGAATTTTAATTCCATGTGGCAGCTACCGAAGTTTAGTCTCCCTTCACTAAGGCCCTTAGCCACCCGGCAATACCAGGCTAAGAATAAGGACCCCAGAAAGGCAGTGTGACCAGGTCCTAAAGGGCACAGGACAAGGCAGTGGGGCAGATCAGCCACAGCCCAGAGATACACAAGGTATTTCCCTTGAAGTTGCCCAGAAATTGTGCAGCAGAATAAACCTGGGCCTATGACAACTTGTGCTCTGCTAAGGTTAGGACTGCCCTGGGGAAACTGAGGCAGCATGGCCACTTTCAGGTTGGGGACTAGACTAAAGCACCCTGATGAGCCCTGTCTAAAGTGTAACCACGTCGAAGGATTTGGAGTCAAAGCTGAGACTGAATCCTGGCGTGGCACCACCTCCTCTCTGGGTGACTCTGGGCAAGTTCATTCCTTTCCTGAGCAAGTGGGGATGGTGGCTTTCCCATGCAGCACCGACACAAGGACAAAAGGCAAAAGGCTTTCTCGGGGGATCTGAGCAAGCATCCCAGTGCTGAGTTGTTCAGTGTAATGAGCCTGACAGCCCCTCATCAAGAGGCTACATCAGTCCTGCCAAGAGATGAGGGCTGGGCAGTCTTTCGAGGCTGTCAGAGCAAACCGTGCCAGCCCCTCCCTCCCCCTCTCTCCTGGCATTGGCAGCCATGGTTCCAGCTCCCAGGGTGATTCCCCAGCTGGGCTTGAGGCCGTGGCTCCCTGTTTCCAGGGATTCATGTCTCTCCATGCCAGTCGCCGCTTGGACAATGCCCACCTCTGTGAGTCCCTGTACTCCACAGTCCAGGAGCAGTACATAGTCATCCAGGGTCTGCGACATCATAATCTGGTGCCATGGCAACAGATGAGCTGCCACAAAGGACTTAGGATTCCAGAGGGTGGTGGGGAGGGGCTGATCCCAGGGCAGAGTGGGGGAGAATGGGAAATCCAGGACAAAGGAAGTGGGCATTGCTATTTATAACAAGAATCCTGGCCAAGGAAAGCATCAGACAGTCCATGGTCAGTTGAATTCCGCTCTGCCACTTGTAGGCTGTGTGACATTTTGCAAGTTACACAACTTCTCTGAGCCTCACTTTCTTCATCTGCATTCAGGGATAATATCCCTGCTTCACCGCACAGGGTTGCTACAAGGAACAAATGAGCTAAGGATGGTGCCAGGGCATAAACTGAAAAGCATAAAAGTGCAAGTTTGTGGTGTCTGAAGTCAGCAGCTCTAGCTGCTATGTGCATGACATTGGGCCTATCAGTCATACTGGAAATGGAGGTGTGGTGCCGACTGAATCTTAAGGCCCTCTCTGCGCCCAGAGCCTATGATCTTGTGAAATTATTATGATCACTCAGCACCTCCCAGCTTCTCCGCCCCCAGAGGAGTCCTTCCCTGAAACAATATGCATCCTTCACATTGTTGTTCCCCACCCACGCTCATCTGCAGCCCCAGTGCAGACAGGGGGCTTCAAAACAAACATTAGTCAGGACTGCCAGGTGGAGCTGCTTGGTGTGGCTTCTTCTTGGCAGTCACAGTGCTTCGTCATGTCAGAGCCTTGAAGAAGTGGCTGCTCAAAGTCACAGCACATGTCCAAGGGAGGGCTGCCCCTGAACCCAGGCATTCTGACTCCAGGTCCCACAGTGTGGCCAGGAAGCCGTGGGGGAGGGGGAACCTGACCCAGCCCAGGGGTCCGGAAAGGGTTCCTGAAGGAGGGGACCATGTTCAAGAAAGAGGAGTCAGCCAAACCGTGAGAGTGAGGAGAGTGATGAAGGACATTTCAGGGTGAGGGATAACAGGGTCTAGGGCGTGGAGCAGAATGGCTGTGCAGGGCTGCGGACCGGGTGCGCCACCAGGCCCAGGGCCAACTCGCCCTACCTGACACAAAGCTACCTCTCAGTGGCCCAGCATGGGGGCCTGGATCTTCCTGAACTCCCCCAGCCTGGCTCTTCCTGAATTCACCCAGCCTCTGCAAAGCACAGGCTGCTGTTGGGCAGCCAGCAAACCCACCGCTCCAAGCTGCTGGGTTTCCTTTGGGGCTTCCTAGCAGAGGAAGAGAGAGGCAGAGGGGAGGACAGAGAACAGGGGGCCATTCACCAGATGTTTGGGATACAGCACTGATCATCTTCCGCCTTGGAGATTCATGATGCCCACTGGCTTACTAAAGGCCCTGAGAAAGCCTGCAGTAAAGATACCAAATTGACTTTGTTTCCTCCAGCACTTCCCAAACTTGTTTAGCCAAGAAACGACTTTTTTGGTTGTCATATCTATTAATTTCCCAAGAAACAAGTGGTCCAATAAACCATCCCCGAGAAACACCACTGTAGTGCAAGCCCCTCATTCTACACATAAGAAGATGAGGCCCAGAGAGGTGAAAGACTGGCCTATGGTCACACAGCAGAGGTTGGTACCCAACGTTCTGTCTCTGTACCAGCTCCACCAAGCTATGAAAAATAGGAGAAGGTGTTCACAGAGCACTTGGCCCAGAGTGAAGCTGAGGAGACACCACTGGGGAGACCACAGTCCTCAGAGCAAGGACATGTCCAAAGAAGAGCCAGCATGAGGAAAGCGGGTGGATACCAGGCCACACGGGACAGGGAAATGAGAGAGACAAGGAAATGAGAGAGACGGATGCCAGCTCTGTCTGTCTTCAGGTTTCTGCAGACATGTCATAGGCCCCCAGGCAATATTTGGTGAGGGCAGAGACCCACAGGCAAGGCGGATTCCTACTCAACATTGTTGCTGAGCCAGCTGGGGCAGATCCCCTCCCCTCCCAGGACAGTAAGAAAGAACCTGAGAAAGGAAAGATGTAAAGCTCCACCTTGGGGTCCAGTGCACAGAAGGGACTTCCTCTGCTTCTACTTCCTCTCCCAGGCTGGAATCAGCACTGGGTGGCCTGGCTCTGGCCCTGCAGCCTAGCTCTAAGGCAGCTGGGCCACTCGTACCAGAGTCGGGGAGATGAAAGGGCTGTTCCCCCCACGGTCACCCTTCTGCAGAGCTCGCCAGACCATGAGTTGCCAAGACGACCACTGCTAGCAGAACGAAGATCCGGGGTGGGGGCAGGGGGCGTGCCGGCCCGCCCCTGGCCTACTAACCTGGCAGGCAGAT